AAAGAGTAGAAGTGGGCCCGAGCTGTAGAGAATGGCTCAAGGGCCCACTATTAGAAGAGAAATTATATCCCAAAGAGTTTGCAGTGGGCCACGCACAAAGGCGAGGCTCAAAGGGCTTGAAAAGGAAGAAGTGGTCAAAAGAGCAGGGCGTCCAAAAAGGGAAAAAGGGTGGACTTCCCAGGACTTGGGGTTTTTATCCCCTTTCTCTAGAATGGGCTGTTCCCCTAAGGGCGTGGGACCACTTGATTGGCACCTGTGATTGACATGAGGCACTGCGCAGGTGCGAGTGACTGGCCTGATCTAGTTGGGTATTTTGTACCCATTTGTTTCAGGGGTAGATAGTTACAATGAAAAGAAGTTTTGGGTTGAGAGGGGAGGTCACCGGGCGGTCGCACTCTGTGGGACGTGCAGAAGTGCAGAGACCCAATGCCTGCCTCTAACTTCCTGCCTGGTTTTCCCCTTGAGAGACGTGATCCCCATAAAATCTCTATGAGAAGCCGAGAGACAGGAGGTCTCTTCTGTATCTGCTTCCTGCTGGGCAGGGGCGTAGAGCCGTCCCTGCCTATTGGGGGATTCACAGAACTCACCCTAGCTGATCTCAGATGAGAGGAAGGGGTCTCGAGCTCCGCCTGGAAGACCGTGTTGGCTTCTTTGGTTGTGACTGGCAGTCTTGTTGGGGTATCCTCTGTATCCCCAAGGCCCCTGAATGAGGAAAAATAGATTTTAATTGATAATCTGTTAGCGCTCATGAAACCTGTGGCCGTTCAGGTGCAACCGGTCACTCAGGTGGCCTCAGTTGTCTGGGCCCAGAATGGGTTTGGCATTCAGCTTACTGGCCTGGGGGATATTAGGAAGTCACAGGCTTTCAAGTAGTTATCTGAAGCAGGGACTTCTATTGTTTGGGATTCAGAAACTGATTTACAAAGCAATCAAGAAGCAGGGGGATAGGAGAATTCTAGAATTCAGGCAGGAGCAATCTTTAGCCAAGGATTCACAGACTGAGGAGAAGAGTGATCAAAGCCAGGGGCTAAGAAACTAAGAAACTAGGGAGGAGACTTAACATTTCTGTAGGAAAGAAAACTTAAAAGTCTTTGTGGGGGGCACTCTCCTGGCCCGGAACAGTTTCTGTGTGTCCAGCAGAGGGTCAGGGCAGCATGCATGGTTCCCCGTCCTCATGGGGTTTACTGTCTACTGAGAAAGAGGTGGGGACAAGTAACTGCAAAGCTATTTAATTACAATTGTGATGTATGTTATAGATCGCTAGCTTGATAAGTAAGCTAGAGGGGCATTTTTTTTTTTTTGGTATCAGGTTGTCAGTCTCCAAATATCGTGGGAAACCTTATATGGAAATTGACACAGTTAAATATTTTTGAGATAACTATAACATTAATTCTGCTTTTGACTTGAATCGGAGTCCTTTCCTTGATTCGAGAGGTTAATCTGATGTTTGTAATGACTGTTATCATTTATTTCTAGATGAACCAAAAACTTGCATTAGTGCTTCTCTGCTTGATGACTTGAAAATCCCCAACATTTTTAATATCTCTTTTCTCCCTCTTCACTTTTTTCCCAACTATTTTTTTATTTCCAAAGGTTATAAAAAGTTTGTGTCTGAATCTTTCCTGAGCCTTACTGGAAGACTTTAGAAAACGGGGAAAGATGGTCTACATTTGGGCTTTATTTAGCCTGTTATTTTATTTTAAATATCATTATTATAAAGTTCAGTTATGTTAGATGATTCTTCCACTGAAATAAACAAAAACGACCAATGCATTCAAATAGATAAATCCCAAACAGTACAAATTCAGTATTTCTTTAAAGCAGAGTTTCTCAGCTCTTGACATTTGGGCGGATAATTCTCTTGCTGTGGGCCATCCTGGGTCTGTAGCAGCACCCCTGGCCTCCAGCTGTGGTACCCCCCAGTTATGACCACCAGGATGCCTCAGACACTGACAGATGTCCCCTGGAGGGGAGGGTGAGTGGGCGATGGAGTCACCTCTGGTTGGGAATCGCTACTTTGACTGTTCGAAGGTTTCCTAGAGTAAAACTCCGGGTACTTCCTTACCATCAAGCTCACAGAGTCAGGGGCTGTGCTAGCGACAGCTGTGCTTTTCAGGGTAAGTGAGTTTATTGGAAACTCATGTGGGGGAGCAGAGATTTACAGAAATAATTTTAGCCCGTTTCTCCCACTGCAATATGTGCACAACCTTTTCCTTGTTGTATTAAAATCAGCAGAAAGTCCTGTATCTAAAGCCCAAATATTTAATTTCTAAAGTCCCCCAGGCAGCATGTGCTAACCAGTTCCTGGATTCATGTTCCTGTGCTGCCAAACTAGACAAAGCAGGACAGACTGAGCCTTAGAACAACAGAAGTGACACTCCCCCAGTCTGGAGGCCAGAAGTCCAAATGCAGGTGTGGGAGTGGCCGCACCCCAGCCCCCCCCCCCCAGGCTCTTGGGGGGCTCCTTCTTGCCCTTCCAGTCTCTGGTCCCTGCTAGAGTTCTGGAATGCAGCCGCATCACACCATTCTCAGCCACCGCCTCACCTGGCTTCTCCTCTCTCCGTGTCCTGCTGGCTCTTCTGGGACGCTTGTCACTGGAGTTGGGGCCCGCCTGGGTAATTCAGGATAATCTCATCCTGAGATCCTTCACTCCGTTGACGAAACACATCCAGCCTAAGAGAATACTTACAAGAGTTTATTTGAGCCAAACTCTCGACAATTGCCGGGAAGCAANTGGGCAGGTCCCCTCCCCACCTGCCTCCCCGGTCCCCTTGAGAGCAGCTGCTCAGAGGACAAGCCTCCCCTGACCCGGGCATCCGAGAAACCTGCCTTCTGTGCTGGCAGCCGTGCGAGCTCGCACAGGCTGCTGCGGTCTGGGAGCCTTCGTTCCTCAGCCTGTGTGACGCTGGTGTCCTCCTTGGCGGGCTTCTCAGTTGTGCTGCGACGAGCAACTGACAGAACAGCCGTGAAGTGGCCGGGTGTCTGCGGGGGCACCCAGCACGTGCTGTGTCTCCCTCCAGGGGCCTGCTGTGTGGCAGAGAAGGAAACCCCAGGGCCCCTAGTCCCGCCGCGGGGCCCAGACCCGTGCTGCTGGGTCCCTGCTGGGAGCCCCCAGCCAAGAGCAGCTGCCAGGCGCCCTGCACCCTGCTACCAGGTCCTCTGTGCCAGGCCAGGTGACAAAGTGGACTCAGAGCCACACGCTAGGTCGCGCCCCTCGCCCACTCGCCACTTGCCTGGGTGCCTCCTTGTACCCGTGTCCTCGTTGGTAGGGGTGGTGATGCACGGGTTGGCAGGCTCTGAGGTTGCCAGGCTCCTGGAACGTGCTGGTCCACAGGAAGCACTGTGTTGCTTAGATGTGACGAGGAGCAGAACGCCTCACAGCGGTGGGCACCGCGCCTGGCACAGGGCGAGGAGGACAAGGCCACGTGCCTCCATCCTCACCGTGGGTCTTGCTTCCGCCCACCCTATCTGTCTGTATCCTTGTCGTGGCGTCCCTCTCTGAGGCACGTCCCTCTCTGCAGCTTCCTGTCCCCCTCCCTTCAGAGCTGCGGGGAGGGACGTGTGTGCGTGCGGCGGGGGCCCGGATATGAGCCGCTGGCTCACCCGCCCTCCCACAGCAGTGGGGTTGAGGGCTGGGCCGGACTGTTGCTCCAGGAAGCACTAGAAATGACCTCATCGTTCTGGTAACATCATCCCAACCAGAATGTTTTCTTCCCTAAAACCTGTTGTAAAATGAAAACGTAAACAAGTGGCCTGCCAGCTTCTTGGTGTGTCTGCCATGCTATGCTCGCGTCCCTTCCCCTGTCGCCAAAACTGTGAAAGCAGAAGCCGTTTCGTATACCGGTATCAGGGAAAAACGCCAGGGCAGCGTCATCTGTTTTTTCTCTGAGTGCCCTAATTCTCTCAAGATTCAACAAAGTGAAAACATTTTCTGGAGGAAGAAAATGCAACTAAAATTATTTATTTGGCATAAGTGGCTAGGCACCGAGTCCTGACGTTATTGTCTGTGCACAGAGAAGGGTGCTCACAGCCTGTGGCCAGCCCCTCGTCTCCAGAGCATTTGACCATCCAATCCCAAACCTCGGGACTGGTCTTTGTCTCAGCTGGACCTTTGGTAAAAATTACATAAAAGATTGATGACCCTTGAGGGGCGGCCGGTTGGCCCAGGTGGTGAGAGCGCAGGCTCATAGCACCAAGGTTGCCGGTTCGATCCCCACATGGGCCAAGGAGCTGCGCCCTCCACAACTAGATTGAAGACAACTGCTTGACTTGGAGCTGATGGGTCNGAGGGCAGTGTCACTGGCCCTCATATGTGGGATCCGAACCAGGGCCCTCTGGCGTCCCAAGCCAGCTCTTAACCATCGCGCCACTCGGCCAGCCCAAGAATGGCAGTTTTACAGCTTATTTTATACATAAAATCAAAAGAGGAAGGTTACGTGGAATCCACTGGTGGTAGATTAAGGGGGTGGGAGAAAGCAAAGCGGGGAAATCTCTGGGATTGGATAAAAGCACATTGGAGAGACAGGTCCTTCTTTTATATAGGTGGGTGCAGGATAGTTAACAGCTTTTTACAGCACACAGAGATGGTAATCAGGACAAGCATAATAATGAGGAATGTTGCAGTTTCCAGCTCTGGTCTGGAAAAAGGATTAAAGATGTTATCTTAGGTACAGAAGGACAACAGGCCCACTGAAAAGGCACAGAGTAACTTAATGAGGAAGCTGAAAATGTGACTTCCCACCATGGCCCACTTAGTTCAAAATTTTTGTGAGTGTGTGTTCAGGCCATGGTAGTTTTAGTCTCCTAAGCTTGTCTGGGTTAACCTGTGGCCCCTTTTCCGTCCACAACTCAGTCACATCTGCAAAGACCCCATTTCCAAGTGAGCCCACTGTTTGGAGGACACTGTTGACCGCCTGCAGCTACACGGAGGGAGCCCAAGGCTCGGTCACTGGGGTTTGCTCGGCACAGTTGTCATTTGTTGCTCTCTGTGGTCTGTACAGATTCGGGACCCGAAGACTCTCCTTCCTGTGCCCGGAGTGATGGTGGGCGACGTAGGGCGGAAGCTTGGGCAGAACGGCCTGGACAACGGGTAAGTGCGCCCCGAGCGTCACGCTCACGGTGGCTCTCCCCGGGGTCTGTCCTCGAGGCGCCTTGTCAGGGCTCAGGTTCCTACCCCGAGGCTGCATGGCTGCTCGAGCCTGTGATCTCACTGGGCTCCTCGGTGCTGCCCCCATACTCTCCTAGACTCCTGAGGACCTGGGTAAAGTGTGGCGGGGCCCCACGCCTCACCTCCACACTTGAAGGACCGTCTCCTGTGTCAACTCCAACATCAGGAGGTATAAATAACCCAAGTACTGAACAAGTGAACTTGTCCCCAGGCAGGTGGCTGCTCCCAGGTCACAGATCAGGCCCAGGCCAAACCGCTGCAGCCTGGTGGGTGGTGCTGAGCTGTGACTGGGACCCACCTCCCCGAGATGAGGTCTCCATCAACAACTTCCTGGGACCGGAGCACCCAGCACATGTCCACACTGATCTTAGGGGTGGAGTGTGGGGGAGTATCTCAAGTCCCTGTTGGACCCTCAAAACAGGTGGGGCCCCAGACTGTGCCAGAGGGTGGGGGAACCATTGATTTTTACGTGGTGTTAGTTTGAGCAGAAAACAGAAGGAAGTTGTTGAAAAGCGAAATCAAACACAAACAGAACCCTTCTAATTTATACTCTCTCAGCATTCTGTGCGCCTCCCTCGCTGACCTGTACGGAGAGCCTGTTAACTGACGCTGGCGTCTGATCGGGGCCGTCAGTTCCTTAAACCGTTACTTTGTGTGGGTGCACGGGGGTCCCTGGCACAGGCAGGCCGTGTGGCACATGCTGAGGTTTGCTGGTTGAGGTCCTGGCCCTTTGTCCTCAGCTCTCGGCGAAGCAGCGACACAATTGATCTGTTTGGGAAGCTGGCTCTGGCCTCGGGGGAGGAGGCTTCAAGGAGGCCTGCGCAGGACGTGGGAATGGCGGCGACTGTCTGTTCTGCACTTGGAAAACTAGTCGTTTCATTAGGTCCGTGCGGTCCGCTTTGGGGCATGGAAAATTCATGTGTCATGACTCCATCTGTGGAAGGGTCTGTGTGTACAAGTGGGGCCTGGGCAGGTGTATCCTCAGGCACCTGGTGTGGGTAACACCCTCCAGCTGCAAATAAATGCTACCAGGTCACATCCAGTGGGCGGCACCTCCCGTCACCATTCACTTGGTTTCACCATCAGAATCTTTAATGTTATTTTGGGACATCCCCAGAAACCCCTGCACTTGGTTCCCCCCAGATGGACTCCTACTTCCAGAGACGGAGCCCTGTCTCTTATTGAGATGGTGCCTGGGGGGCAGTTAGTGGAGCGCCGACAGTGGATGCGTCCTGCCAGGGTAGCGCAGGCTCTGCTAAGACTCACACCAGTCACCTGTGGCATCGCCGAGGGGCAGTGTGGCAACAACCCTCCTTGAAGGAGTATCAGAGAAGCTCCACCAAACCAAAGTGACTGTGCCCCGTGGAGCCGCACAGTGTCAGGCTGAGGGGACCTTGGGAGCAGCCATATTCAGTCCCCGAGCCTTTGAAGGTTCAGTGACTTGTCCAGGGTCCCCGGACTCACGGGCTGGTGCTGGGGTGTAAGCCACGTGGGTGACACAGCAGCGCCCTTCTCCCTGCTCCTCAGAACCCCCTTCCCGGGCCTGGGTGCACACGCCCAGCAGAGGGCGCACTGGTTTTGAGGACACCGACACCCTGGTCCGGCTTCTCTTCTTGCGTGCAGTTCTCCGTCATATTCCAGTTATCTCTTGTAATTGAGTGATTTTTTTTTTAACGGAGGTCATTCATCTTGAAAGTGTAGGTTAGATTTTTGTCACTTCACAAGAATTTCCAAGCATGTGGGGTGACTCTCTAGGAATTAGTGGAAAACATAAATTGTATGGGTTAGTTTTAGTCAAATAACTCTTTTTTTTTTTTTTTAGATTTTTTTATTGGGGAATTGGGGGGATGGGAACAGTGCTGGGGAACTGGGGGAAGGGGAACAGACAAGTTGCTGTCGTTTTGTTCTTCA